TTTGGACTTGGGTAGAGTTTGTATTCCGGCGCGTTCGTACGCTTTCGCATTCGCCTGTGTTTCCTTTGCGTCTTCTAGGACGAGCGGCGGCCTGGAGCTGTGTCTGTTTTTGTGGAATATTTCTCTAGCTTAGAAGGAATAGGCGCAAATGCCAGTGTCGATGCACGGCCATCACTGGCTGCTTAATATATTCCGTTAGTATTCATTTACAATCTCGCTATTGGCTAGGGCATCAATAGATAATTTCCCCCAATCTGGCAGCGGCTTTTTGTTCATGGAAAGTGTCCGCCTGCATACGGCCAGGATTTTCCAACAAGCCCTTACGAGCCATCTTAGTACAATTTGAATATCAGCTGGTTTGTGCGACGCAACTCTTCTTAGCCCAAGCGCGTCATGAAACTCTGGACGCCATGCAAAGTTGACTTTTTGGGTTGGGAATGCACATAAGAAGCTCCCTTGTGCTGTTGTCTAAAGTGATTTTGCAAGGTTACTTACGCGCATTGACTTTTTCTGGACATCTTTCCCGCTGGTTTAGAAAATGATTCTGCTGAAACGAACACTGGATGTACATCCCGCAACCGGCTGCTGCGGAAAGCTGAAAGCTTTTCGACTTTCGGCAGATAGAAGCCCTGTTGTTCACTTGTACGATGGTGCATTTTACATAGAGAAAATGGTGAATGCCTTTACATTTTTTGCCGTAGCAATTGTTTGCAAGGTGTCGGCTGTTGGTGCAGATAGCCCCAAAGTACAGGCGGGCATGGTGGTTGGGAAACTACGCGTGGCACCGGCGAGCGGAAGAAATGCGATGATTGGTATTGGGAACGATCCAGACCAGTTCCAAATCGGCATTGATGGATCAGGGGAGTTTATTATTGCAAGCCCGCGGAAAACGATATTGAGTGTCGACAACGAAGACACCATGCGTATCTATGCCAACCTGACAACTAGGTATGAAATGAATGCGCACCATATATGACCATTTTATCATAATCAACACCCGTATTCAGCTCCTTGGACCTTCAAGGCCCGCTGTTAGTCCGCGGTGTTCCGCAATTCCGGACGACACACCGTGAGGACTTCTCCGAAGGGAAAGCTGAAGGATGGGACAACCCAGGTCCGTTAATCCGTTCGACAGAAAAAACGATCCAGAAAAACTATCGCCGAGCAGCTTCGCAGGATATCGTTTCATCCTGCGCAGGGATATCGATGCTGGGAGGCTATGGAAAGTTCGCTAAGGTATCCGGTTCAGAAGCAGAACAAAAAGGAACTCTCGCTAGAAAGAACTTCACAGGGAGAAATAAGCAAAAGGTTTGACCGCCTACCCCTCCATAAAGAGCTCCGAGTCAAGGCTGTCTTTCACTTTATTGATGCATGGGTACAACGCCTCCATTCAAAGTAGCCTTGGCCTTAGTATATCATGCTCATGCTGCAGATAGGAGAAACTGGTTTTATGCGACTCGACGTTGGTACGGTCAACACTTTGTGCCAAACGGAAATAGAACCGCTTCTATACTCGACTTCGCCGCGTGTAGGCCCAGACGGGGGCCTTGTATACACCTGGACTGAACGGTATTTGAATCTTTCCCTGAAGTCTAGCCAATGATTGCTATCATTCGATGATGGCCCAGACATTCCCAGGATTTCGAGCAGAAAGCAGTAAACGCATGTGGAGGTAAACGCATCGCTGTACCGGTGCAAATGGGTACACCTCCAACTACTCGCACTCTCCAGGCCCTGTTGGCGAAGGTAAATTCTCTACACCGATAGAGGTCGTCGTTCCTCACGAGCGCGAATCGGTCACTGTTGCGTTTGGGAGCACGGTGAGGGAATACAGCACAGTCCC